CCGTCGGCTTGCCTTCGGATTCTTCTCCAGTCTCACCGTCTACGTCGCTACCATTGTGACTGCGGGGGGATGTTGAGTAACATGATTGTATAGGAAACATAGGTTAGACTAGGATATATTCTGGCTTGCCTTGTACTCCAAGTAGATCATGTACTCCTATATATATGCCCACGAGGCTCAAGCAATACAACAAATTATTCCACCAAATCTCTTTCTCCCTTCTAACGTGAATCAAAGGACATCTCCTTTTCTATTTATACTCATATGATTTGAGATGCATGTTATCTCATTTCCTATAACTTTTCTATTCCAATGATTTCCCTACCCTGTGAATCAAATGAGGCCTAAAGCTCTTTGTTGGTCTGATAGAAACAAGGTTACTCTCTCCAGATATATCCATTTGACCGACAAGTAATACGGATTGGAGTGAGTATCTAATTTTTCATATACAAAAATTGAAAATAATGATACCAAATGATTTATTAGTACTACAAATTTTGACTGAAACATAGCTACCTCACTCTTCCAAAATCTATAAAAGACTGAGAAATACGAAAGAACATAAAACTCTACATTTTGATTCTAAAAAAAACATTGTTTTTTTAAACTGTTTAGGGGCCGAGGGACCAAAGAAAGTAACTTGAGGAAGTGAGTAGGCTCACAAATGAAGAGAAGCTAACACAATTCTAAGCTGAGGGCGCAATGAAACCAGAGAGATTGAACACAAAAGAATGAGAAAATCAACCGAAGGTCTGATTAGTGGCAAAATAAGTAAATTGTCTAGGTTGATACACTAGTGCAGAATCAGCCTTTAGTCCCGGTTCATAAGGGCCTTTAGTCCCGGTTCGTCACAGCCCGGGACCAAAGTCCCATCATGTGGCACGAGCCCGCGCCGGGGGCTGGGGGACCTTTAGTCCCGGTTTAATTACGTACCCTGGGTCGCACCTATTTCAGCTCTTGTTTCCATGGGCCTCTAACCCGATTGATGAAATTTTGTCAAACCCTGCCCGCCGGCAAAGAAAATGAATAAATGAGTTATTAATTAGTTGATACGGGAAATGAACTAAAGAGGCCAACCTAGTGTGATAATGATTAAAATTACCTGTCGATCATCCCCTTCATGATTGAGTATTCTTTAGTTTCTTTAAGTAGTGAGTCTAATACTTGAACTTTTCCCAAGTCAACTTCAATGATTAGCATGATCCAGTGGAAGCTACATGCGCACACGTTTGTATAATTAAGCGGGCATGTGCATAACTCACGAACTACACTTATTAACATCTAGTAAGCAAAATAGGATTTGTAGTACAAGACGGTAACACTCACTCGAAATTGTAAGAAAGTAGTAGTATTTCTGGTTGGTCATTTAGTCGCTTCATAAACTCTAGCAAGCTTCTCTCTGTGTCTTTTTTGTGACGTGACCATGTCTCTTCATTAACGGTATTTGGGTCAACGAATCCAATGCCATAGCGTCCATCTCTTTTTATTTCATAAATCTTTATTCTACATAATATCACATAAAAGAATATAGAGAAGATATTTACAGGTAATGAACGAGCAGAACTGGAGACTTAAATTACAGAAAGAAATCACTTACAGATAATATTAACTGACGAGAGATTTGTCGAGTGCGTCTTGATTGAATAATTAACTGAAACATTTCTTGAAACTCAACCCACAAATCTTTTTCATGGAAGTAATGCTCTGCCTTGACTTTCATCATGAGGGCCTCTCGCCCATTCTTTACTTCTCTCAGGTACCACTCATGCAATCTGCGCATTCTCGTTGATAGAAGCAGGATCTCCTCGGGCTTGACCAGAGGTTGGACGGAGACATATTTGCATGACAGTTCCTCCTCTCTAAACCCGGGGAGAAACTCGATGCCTAGGAGCTGTTCAACAGTGACATCGGCCTCTTTAGCTTGTCTTCTATGATCGGTGGTACTCACGTGTGGTTGTACAATGAGGGGGGGGGGTCGATTGCACTGCCCGTTCTCCCGGCTGGGGAACAGTTTTCCTACTTTTTTTACCAACTGCTTGGCTCAAGCTCGAGCTCGACTCCTTCTGTTTTTGTGCATGATATAGCTTCTTAATAGAGCGCTCATAGTCTGAGCCCGGTCTCTTCACAACCGGTTGAGCATTATCAATAAAGTGGTGTATCACTTCCTCAGGTATTTTCTCCTTTGACGGCGGGGGCAGTTTCTTCACAAAAAAGGCCTTCACTTGGGCATCCACTTCGACGTTGTTTTCCTTGATGGTCATCTCGTAAGCCAATTTCTTTTTGGCACGAGGAGAGTCTTTCTTGCTTGGTGCTCTCTTCCGCTTTGGAGAAGGCTGACGTGCCCGAGATCGATATGGCGGACTTGCACTGATGGGCTCCGTCTCGGGGTGGGGTGGTGGAGTCGGCTGACGCGGTGGCGGACTAGCGCCGCGCTACGTCTCGGGCAGGGTTGGGGAGGAGAAGGGGAGTCGGGGAACCGGCAGCGCCTAGGGTTTCGCCCCTGAGTCGCTCGAGAGCGGACGACGCGGATCGTTGTTACTATTATTTCCTTTCAAAAAAGGAGAAAGAAACCCGAGACTCTGCATGGGTCGATGCATGCAGCCATCCGTCCCAGCTAAGTAGTGTCGAGTTCATCCGAGTTTTCTCACCAGCACAGTAACATATGTGGAAAAGCACTCTACAAAGTGCAAGCTACTTTTGGACGTTAGATAGAGCAGTCGATCTGCCCGTCGCTACCGAGCCACCGGTCGCTCGTCCAACAAAGCATCCGAGCACCTATAAATTGAACCACGAGCCCACGGCACGACGGCACGACCACCCATCGCTCGCACAGTGCATCACGAACTTAACCCCGGTTCACTCCGATCATCATCCACCCACCGATGGCCCGACGCCGGAGCAGCGGCGGCATCTCGTCCGCGCTGAGCCTGGGGCTCGCCGTGATGGCCGTCACATGGGCGACGTCCACGGCGCAGCAGCAGCAGCAGCAACCGCCGGCCGTGCCAAGCGTGAGCGTGCCGAGCTGCCCGCCGGTGCAGGCCTCGCTGTCGCCGTGCGTGAGCTACTTCATCGGCAACTCCTCGTCGCCATCCGACACGTGCTGCGTCCAGATGCGGGCCATGTTCCAGTCGCAGGCGCCCTGCCTCTGCGCCGCCGTGTCCGCCGTGCCGTCCCAGCTCGGGTCCGTGGTCGGCGGCCTGCTCCCCACCGCCTGCAACCTGCCCCCCAACGCCTGCTCCGGTACGTGCATGCTGCCAGCGAGATGCTCCTACATGTAGAAAAACTGGAAAGTTCTGACCATTTCTGTTGGTGTGTCATCGTCGCCACCTGGACTCACTCCACCGCAGCTCCGACTTCAAAGCAACCAAGCAACCTACAGAAGAGCACCTCGGACACGCCTGAAAGAACCGACTATCGAAGTCCATGCCGCGACCCAAGCTCCTCTCGACGCCATCATCGTTGCCAAAAACAAAAACCAGCGCCCCAGCTCGGTGATACGTCTCCAACGTATCTATAATTTTTGATTGTTCCATGCTATTATATTATCTGTTTTGGATGTTTATGGGCTTTATTATACACTTTTATATTATTTTTGGGACTAACCTATTAACCGGAGGCCCAACCCAAATTGTTGTTTTCTTGCCTATTTCAGTGTTTCGAAGAAAAAGAATATCAAACGGAGTCCAAACAGAATGAAACCTTCGGGAGAGTTATTTTTGGAACGGAAGCAATTCAGGAAACTTGGAGTATACGTCAGGGAAGCTTCGAGGTGGCCACGAGGCAGGGAGGCGCGCCTACCCCCTGGGCGCGCCCCCACCCTCGTGGGCCTCTCGTGGCTCCCCTAACCGAGTTCTTTCGCCTATATATGTCCATATACCCTAAAAACATCGAAGAGCACAATAGATCAGGAGTTCCACCGCCAGAAGCCTCCATAGCCACCGAAAACCAATCTAGACCCGTTCCGGCACCCTGCCGGAGGGGAGAATCCCTCTCTGGTGGCCATCTTCATCATCCCGACGCTCTCCTTGACGAGGAGGGAGTAGTTCACCCTCGGGGCTGAGGGTATGTACCAATAGCTATGTGTTTGATCTCTCTCTCTCTCTCGTGTTATTGAGATGGTACGATCTTGATGTATCGCGAGCTTTGCTATTATAGTTGGACCTTATGATGTTTCTCCCCCTCTACTCTCTTGTAATGGATTGAGTTTTCCCTTTGAAGTTATCTTATCGGATTGAGTCTTTAAGGATTTGAGAACACTTGACGCATGTCTTGCATGTGCTTATCTGTGGTGACAATGGGATATCACGTGATCCACTTGATGTATGTTTTGGTGATCAACTTGCGAGTTCCGTGAACTTATGCATAGGGGTTGGCACACGTTTTCGTCTTGACTCTCTGGTAGAAACTTTGGGGCACTCTTTGAAGTTCTTTGTGTTGGTTGAATAGATGAATCTGAGTTTGTGTGATGCATATCGTATAATCATACTCACGGATACTTGAGGTGACATTGGAGTATCTAGGTGACATTAGGGTTTTGGTTGATTTATGTCTTAAGGTGTTATTCTAGTACGAACTCTATGATAGATTGAACGGAAAGAATAGCTTTATGTTATTTTACTACGGACTCTTGAATAGATCGATCAGAAATGATAACTTTGAGATGGTTTCATACCCTACAATAATCTCTTCGTTTGTTCTTCGCTATTAGTGATTTTGGAGTGACTCTTTGTTGCATGTTGAGGGATAGTTATATGATCAAATTATGTTATTATTGTTAAGATGACTTGCACTAGTGAAAGTATGAACCCTAGGCCTTATTTCCACGCATTGCAATACCGTTTGTGCTCACTTTTATCATTAGTCACCTTGTCGTTTTTATATTTTCAGATTACAAAAACCTATATCTACCATCTATATTGCACTTGTATCATCATCTCTTCGTTGAACTAGTACACCTATACAATTTACCATTGTATTGGGTGTGTTGGGGACACAAGAGACTCTTTGTTATTTGGTTACATGGTTGCTTGAGAGAGACCATCTTCATCCTACGCCTCCCACGGATTGATAAATCTTAGGTCATCCACTTGAGGGAAATTTGCTACTGTCTTACAAACCTCTGCACTTGGAGCCCAACAACATCTACAAAAAGAAGGTTGTGTAGTAGACATCACTCAGCAAACCATGCGGTCAAGATGCCGCCATCCAGCGGTCTCCTGGCCGTAGCCGGCTCCGAGACGATGCTCCCAAGGAGGAAAAAGACACGAAAACGTCTCCATCACCCGATCCAACAGATCTGAGGTTTCCCTCCGGAGCCAATGCCGTGGGGAGGAGGAGCACACCTCCACGACAACGCTTCCAAGAAAGGTCGCGGCACCCACGGGTGCCGCCGTCGCCTGCTCCGATGAAGAGCGAACGAGGATTTCTCCTGGACATGTGTCGACCACCTGCCCCCACCGACCGCCGCCAACCAACCACCATACCAGTTGAGGCCAACCTTACTCTGGACGCGAGATCCCACGATCCACTGCGCCTAGGAACGCACCACCCCTTGGGCGTAGCAACCGCCCACCACAGCAACCAACGCGCCGCAAGCAGCAGCCCCCGAATCAGAGAACCACCAATGGCCAAACCCAAAATGGAGTCACTCCAACGAAGCAGCAGAGCAGATGAGCATGCCCTTCACCGCAGCACACCTCGAGCTCCGGTGACGCATGCCCGCCGCGCCCCACCAGTCACCGCGCCCGTCGCGCGCAAGCTGCCGCCGCGCTAGTCCATCGATCTGTGCACCACACGCACATCCAAGGCCGAGAGCCGCCTCGCGCATGGGCTCCGGTGGAAGATTCAGATTGAAAAGGTGCACATTTTCCAATTGAAGCTCCAAGAATAGAATTCGACCATGAGTCCAGGACCGAGGCATACATGCTGACGTGCCAAAAAAAAAGAGCCATGCATGTCCAAGATTTTTGGACGAGAAAAACCAACACACTTTTTTCTTCCCAATCTTGTAGCACGACCTTGAGTCACACAGCAATGAACGGAGAGGTCCAAATTATTTTGTGACAATGTAATCCCTACTTCTTTATATTTTCTATTCTGCATCCAGTTGTCTGCCTCTTGTGATATTAATTAATTAGATTTGAAATGCACTTTGGGTGTTTTTACTTTTATAAAAAAAATCGTTGTTATTATGATTTCCTTTCAAAAAAGGGGAGAAAAACCCCCCGGACTCTGCATCGGTCCAGCTAACTAGTGTCGAGTTCATCCGAGTTTTCTCACCAACACGGTAACATCTCTGGAAAAGCAGTGGCGGTGCACCCTGCAAAGTGCAAGCTACTCCACTTTTGGACGTTAGATAGGGCAGTCGATCTGCCCGTCGCTACCGAGCCACCGGTCGCTCGTCCAACAAAGCATCCGAGCACCTATAAATTGAACCACGAGCCCACGACACAACGGCACGACCACCCATCGCTCGCACAGTGCATCACGAACTTAACCCCGGTTCACTCCGATCATCATCCACCCACCGATGGCCCGACGCCGGAGCAGCGGCGGCATCTCGTCCGCGCTGAGCCTGGGGCTCGCCGTGATGGCCGTCACATGGGCGACGTCCACGGCGCAGCAGCAGCAGCAGCAACCGCCGGCCGTGCCAAGCGTGAGCGTGCCGAGCTGCCCGCCAGTGCAGGCCTCGTTGTCGCCGTGCGTGAGCTACTTCATCGGCAACTCCTCGTCGCCGTCCGACACGTGCTGCGTCCAGATGCGGGCCCTGTTCCAGTCGCAGGCGCCCTGCCTCTGCGCCGCCGTGTCCGCCATGCCGTCCCAGCTCGGGTCCGTGGTCGGCGGCCTGCTCCCCACCGCCTGCAACCTGCCCCCCAACGCCTGCTCCGGTACGTGCATGCTGCCAGCGAGATGCTCCTACATGTAGAAAAACTGGAAAGTTCTGACCATTTCTGTTGGTGTGTCATCGTCGCCACCTGGACTCACTCCACCGCAGCTCCGACTTCAAAGCAACCAAGCAACCTACAGAAGAGCACCTTGGACACGCCCGAAAGAACCGACTATCGAAGTCCATGCCGCGACCCAAGCTCCTCTCGATGCCATCATCGTTGCCAAAAACAAAAACCAGCGCCCCAGCTCGGTGATACGTCTCCAACGTATCTATAATTTTTGATTGTTCCATGCTACTATATTATCTGTTTTGGATGTTTATGGGCTTTATTATACACTTTTATATTATTTTTGGGACTAACCTATTAACCGGAGGCCCAACCCAAATTGTTGTTTTCTTGCCTATTTCAGTGTTTCGAAGAAAAAGAATATCAAACGGAGTCCAAACAGAATGAAACCTTCAGGAGAGTTATTTTTGGAACGGAAGCAATCCAGGAAACTTGGAGTATACGTCAGGGAAGCTTCGAGGTGGCCACGAGGCAGGGAGGCGCGCCTACCCCCTGGGCGCGCCCCCACCCTCGTGGGCCTCTCGTGGCTCCCCTAACCGAGTTCTTTCGCCTATATATGTCCATATACCCTAAAAACATCGAAGAGCACAATAGATCAGGAGTTCCACCGCCAGAAGCCTCCATAGCCACCGAAAACCAATCTAGACCCGTTCCGGCACCCTGCCGGAGGGGAGAATCCCTCTCTGGTGGCCATCTTCATCATCCCGACGCTCTCCTTGACGAGGAGGGAGTAGTTCACCCTCGGGGCTGAGGGTATGTACCAATAGCTATGTGTTTGATCTCTCTCTCTCTCGTGTTATTGAGATGGTACGATCTTGATGTATCGCGAGCTTTGCTATTATAGTTGGACCTTATGATGTTTCTCCCCCTCTACTCTCTTGTAATGGATTGAGTTTTCCCTTTGAAGTTATCTTATAGGATTGAGTCTTTAAGGATTTGAGAACACTTGACGCATGTCTTGCATGTGCTTATCTGTGGTGACAATGGGATATCACGTGATCCACTTGATGTATGTTTTGGTGATCAACTTGCGAGTTCCGTGAACTTATGCATAGGGGTTGGCACACGTTTTCGTCTTGACTCTCTGGTAGAAACTTTGGGGCACTCTTTGAAGTTCTTTGTGTTGGTTGAATAGATGGATCTGAGTTTGTGTGATGCATATCGTATAATCATACTCACGGATACTTGAGGTGACATTGGAGTATCTAGGTGACATTAGGGTTTTGGTTGATTTATGTCTTAAGGTGTTATTCTAGTACGAACTCTATGATAGATTGAACGGAAAGAATAGCTTTATGTTATTTTACTACGGACTCTTGAAT